TGGATTGAAAAGGACTAGCCTTCAGTCGAACGATTAAGCTCGCGCAGTGACGACTGAACAGACTCACTGCCCAGTCCATGACGCCCTGACCGAATTAGAAGCGCAAAAGCGCAAAAGAGGCTCGTCAGCCTTATTGCGCGCGCTGAAACAGAGCTTGCTACACTCCTCGACATCCTTCTCACCTTGAGCTCTTCCACTCCCAGACCCCTCAGATCGTGGGTGAGGTGACCTTGTTCGGGCTTGAAGCAACCGGTGACGTATGCTCTGCTAGCGTCCCTCCCCGAGAAGAAGTCGTAAGGCCCTCCTGGTCCGTATATCCGTCTACCATCGGTCACGTCGTACACGACGCCCATGATGGAGAGCTGCAAGAGTTGCAAAGTCGAGAGACAGACAAGGGCGGGGCAGCACAGCACAGCAGGTCAGCCAGCACCTAGCCAGAAACCTCTTCGACGATACAAGCGACTCACGTAGATGGGACGCTTTGGATCCAAGCCATTGTAAAGAGCCAGCTCCTCGGGCGTGAAGAGTCTTTGAGGTGGCTAAAGCGGGGGTACACGCACCGTCAGTGCCAAGTCATGCACCGCGCCAGAGCCTTGAGGGTGTGTGATGGTCACGACAAGACTACTGCGCCACTTGGACACGCAGCCAACTACTCACAGGAAACCAGTACCGTTTCTGAACATATTTGCCCCTGTAGCCCCAAAGAATATCGCCTGCGATGAATTGACCCGCTCCGAGTGCAAAGAGCACACCTACAAGGGCCCATTTGATCAAGCTGGCGCAGAGTGATCGTTGCTTGCGCGTTTGCGCTCTCTGAGTCCTGCTTGCGGTCTTGCTAGAGGCCATCTTTGCCTGTGCTTGCGCTCTTCGACGCGCCTGTTCTGCTTGATGCGCTAGGAATGGAGAGTTGGCCTTCTTGATTGGCACTTGGCGACGAGGATCCGATGGGTCGGTGATGAGACGCGGCGATGCTGCTGCTGGTGCGGCGGCGGATAATGATGGAGGAAGATTAGGCTGATCTGCCATCAGACCGCTGTGTTCACAGAGTGTTGACAGAGTGCAACGCGAATGTGGGCAATGATGAGAGGGATTTCGAAGTTTGTTTCTGTGCAAGGATGTTCACCTGCTGATCTTCCAATGCTATCACGTGCACCTGCGTCTTGCGAGCCAGCTGACTTCCAGATTGGCAGTAGCCGTGAGTGTGAGTGTGAGTGTGACTGTGCGATGCCTGCTGATGGTACAGACGTGATGAGCGTTGAGGTTGCGTGTGTGAGAGAGGAAGAAGCGGGG